TTTAAAAAAGATAAAAATGAATTGAGCTATAGTGAGAATAGTTAACAGTTTGGAACTTAACCTCAAAGATAGTCACAAAGAAATACCAATAATGCGCAACTAGTTTATATGTGACTTAGCATTTAAAGATACATGTTTTTGCATCAATGGTATTTTAAAGTAGTAGGTATCATTGTGCACAAGAAAATCAAAAAACTGTAGTGGTTTGTATCAACATAAAATGAAGGCAATAATGTGCATTGATTTTGTTACTCTTTCAGAATACTGTACTGACATTTTTAAGATACAGTTTGTAAAGCAAATTTAACCAATTAATTGGATTACTTGATAGTACAGTTGGCCCTCTACCTGCCAACTCCCTCACCAAAGAATTCAACTAGCCATCAAAATGTAGTTAACACTTTCTCTTGCCATTATTTCATGAACAATACTGTATGACAATTACTTATAAACCACTTCCACTATGGGTCTTGAGGGGCTAATGTACAGTGCTTTGCAATGAGTTCTGTTAACAAATTACAGCTTTTAGCTGGCAATTAGCTCATTTCCATGGCTCTTTTTTTAAGCTGCAAGTTTGAATATATATAGTAAGACTCAGTTGCAGTAATCTAGAGAACATTACCTTGAGTTTGAGGTAACTTGTTAATTTATTAACTAAGATTAATCTGAAAAACATCCAAATAGTGAAACAAGGGGAGTGTTTATCAGGCTAATCAATGCCACTTAAATGTATTTTATAACTATCATTTGTGGATTTTCTTTTGTATGTGAAGATCACCTTTTACTTACCATCTGTTTTGATTTGTTTATTTTCCTCTGCTTTTATTTGAGTGTTTGCTTCATGTGTGTTTCTATTTAGGCAGATAATTTCAAAAATGTCTTAAAATTTAACTCTTTTAGGACTGAGCTTGTGAAATAATTTCAACCATGACGAAAAGGGAAGCAGAGGAGCTCATAGAAATTGAGATTGATGGGACAGAGAAACCAGAGTGCACAGAGGAAAGGTTGGTGTGTCTGAATTGATCACTTTTCATATTATCAGCATACCCAATTAGAAGTGAGATTTAAGCTATTGTTCATTTGAGACCTTTTTTTTTTTAATTAGTCTTAGCATTTTGGAGGATAGTGAACTGCTTTGGAGGATAGTGAACTTCCTCGGGCTTATCTGTGTTTATAACTGGGTAATGATTGCAGCTAAAAGTGATCATGTAACTGTGATGGTCTTTAACCCTAGAGCACTGTTTGATTATGTTCTGTTTCTATTACTTTGAATTAATTTATCACATACTGTAAATAATAACTAATAACTGTCACAATGTATGAGTAAATTTGACAGAACCCACGTTGTAGAGACCAAATTGTATATGAGGAGACAT